AATATTTTGAAATAAAATTAAAATTAATTTCTTCTTAATAAACACGCAAACGGCGTCATAGCGCGAATCGCCAATGTTGGCCAAAACTCTTAAGTTTCTTTTATTTAATAAACGCACGTTAAAAAAACTGATAAAGTATTTCCCCCTTCTTGAAAGCAAAATTTATAAATGTAACTGATTGCTCTTTAAATTGTTAATACAACAAACATTTTTGACATTTAAAACGTTTTACTTTTTTTAATTCCAAAAATATACTTTTATTAAATTTATGACGCAATAAAACTTAACCTTTAAATAAACTTCTGATAAGAAAATGCCGTTTAAGGCATTCAGTGTAGCGCAACTACACAGCCAAATAGCCTTCAGTAATCAAATTATAACACATACAAAAAAGAACGAGCCATATGAAGTGCAAGATATGTTAGTTTGGGTATGGAAGGGACTAAATTCCAGTGAAAGATTTTCTAAATTTATTTAAATCCGGGTGTAGAAGGGTTGGTCACGTTGCCCCAGGCAGCACAAGATACGTCACAAAATAAAGGAATGATTTTGATACATAATTAACCTTCTTGGGTACATACATATCGGAGAAAGGAAATAGGATGTGTGCATTTTTACGTGGATGAGAATATATTTAATGGTATTAAATTTGTGAAAAAAAAAGAGATGTTACATTCTCTTTTTACAAATATGTGTATGCTCATTTTGTCCAAGGGAGTACAAGATACGTCTCAAAAAAAAAAAATGGAATGAACTTGATAAATAATTAACCATCTTGGGTACATACATATCGGAGGTACGAAAAAGGGTGTGTACATTTTTAAGTGGATGACAATATATTTAAATCCTATGGTATTACATTTTTGAAAAAAGATGTTACATTCTCTTTTTACAAATATGTTTATTTTGCCAAAGGCAGCACACGATATTCTTAAAATAAAGGAATGAATTTGATAAATATTTAATTTTCTTGGGTAAAAGACCTATCGGGGGTAGGAAATAAGATGTGTACATTTTTACATGGATGACAATATAGTTAACGCATAAGGTATTAAATTTTTTGAAAAAAAAAGAGATATTACATTCTCTTTTTACAACTCAACAAATGTTTAACAATTAAGAAACATTTTAATGGTGTTAACATAATGCGGGTACATTTGTATAAGTTTACCCATGAATATCAAAACCCAATCATTTTACACACTTGAAAAATTAATTTTGAAAAATAGAGATGGATTAATATTTACTTTCAAAAAATGAAAAAATATATTTTTGTTTTTACTTTGCAAAAAGTAACCAGGTGTATATCTTTATGAGATTTTCAATTCATTTTTTGTTTTTTTTTAAATTGACACTCTTAGTCTGTTACAGGCTTGAAAAACGATTGCAAGAATCTTCTTTAGATAAAAGAATTCTTTGTTTTACGATTTTCTGATGATGTATAATTTAAAAAACAAAGCAAGCGTTTGTTTTACATTTTTGATGAAGATATCAATATATCAAATTCCATTAATATTAAATATATTTTTATCATAATATTATGTTTTTTCTCCTCCAATTTTTACAGGAGAAAAAATGTAAATCAAGGGCACAAAAAGGGGTAAATCTAAATTATTTCTCTAGAGTAGAAATCGTCCCTCAATTAACTTCTTTAGTTAAAAAAAAAAAAGTGATATGATTAGTGATAATTGAGACTGGGTAATTTAAGGTCATATTTAGATGGGGAAAAAATAATTTAGGGGCGTGAAAGGGAGTAGGGTAGGCGTATAATGAATAGCAGATAAATATTTCTCAAAACTTAATGAATTTTGAAACGTAAATATTATTGCATAGATTCTTCTTTGTAAAGTTAGGAATTGTGATGAGTTTTTTTGTTTGCAATAGCAGGTAGAACTTATCGCAATTGAGCTACCATTATTATCCCGATAACACCGGGTCATTTATTATATATATAAATATAATGATGAAATTCCCACAAGATTGAAATAATGGTTCCTTTTTACTTAAATTGAATCCCAACAAAATTTAATTAACCCCATAAAGGTTCTTTGTTTATTGGGTAAAGAATCCCTGCTTTAATTGGGGTTTTTTCAATTCAAAGCTTCAATAAGAATAATTTTTTTTATTTTTTTTTTATTTATTTTTTTTTAAACCAAAAAATGACATCGGTAGCAATACAACCCACAACGGAAAACTCTCCATTTTTATTTCACTTCGCTGCAGTTTTAGAGAGAGCCAGATTGAACAATGTTTAGTTGTCTCGTTTATCTATTTAATAGCAAATGGATATTCACCTCACAATTTAAAATAATCAAAGTTCTATTTCTCTTACTTTTAAAATGAACAGTGTCATTCCATCGCCATTAAGTAGACATATGACAAGACTAAACATGTATCATGAGTTGCTAAATCAGCCTTATGCTATATTAGGGTAATAAGGGGAGAGACTGCAATCAGCTAAGCGCAATATAAAATGAGTAAAACAGAGTAGGGTTAAACCTGAAAAAAGAAACGCAACAAAACAACGAACGTGTCGGCAGAAAGCCTTCGTCAGCGAACAAAACAACAGAAAAAAACAGTAGAAAAATAAAATTAAGAAATATCACCTATCCGTTGGTATCAAAAGAGTGAGTGTTGTTATTAAAACGTGTCTTTGCGTGATTGTTGTTATTGTAACGTGTCCTTGCGTGAGTGTTGTTATTGTAGCACGTCTTTGCGTGATTGTTATTGTGGCTCATCTTTGTGTGATTGATGTTATATTAACGTGTCTTTGCGTGATTGTTATTGTGACACGTCTTTTCGTGATTATTATTGTGAATCTTCTTTACCTTATGGTTGTTATGTGACGCGTCTTTGCGAGATTGTTTCTACCGTACCTTTGGAGAAGTTTGAAAAATATGAGATCATGGATCTGCCCTTCCGATGCATACGTCTATACACCCAGCACAATCCAACGATCATGGCTGGTCCGCTGCAAACAAGAGAACTATTCTTTCTTATTACGCCCTTGTTGACTGCCCCACTTACAAGGATGTTATCTCGTGCTTTTAGAGAATGAACACAACGTATTTAAGTTAATGACCTTTGAAAACAACATCTTCATTACACTGCAGCTCTGTCTGAGCATATGGAAATTAGACATGGATTAAAATTACTTACAGTTAAGTAGGTCATTGAAACTATTTTGAAGGGATTACCCTGGTGTTGCATTACATCTAGAAGCTTCCCCCCCCCCCCCAAACCCACACCCCAATTTTTTTTCTTTTTAAAAATTAGAAAAACAAATAATGAATTATTTTAATTTATTTTGTACAATATCTTCAGTGGCGGAGGGCATGCATTCAAATAATAATGCTTCTTCATTGAGACCTCAAACTAAGCATACTATATGACCATGCTGTTATGCTTTTAAAATTGTTAAATAATAAGATTACCAATGTTAAATAAGACGTCCAGGACCAAAAGTACGTTCTGATGTCATTGTTAAAATGCGCAAAATTTCATCGTTCCAATATAACTTCTCCAAATGTTTTTGCAAAACTTTTTAACTTGAGCGGACCGGTGGACAAGTCTTCGAAATTACACCTGGGACCAGTGCAGACCTTTATTGATTTTGTTTTCTTTTCTTTTAAAATTATTTAAACATAGCTATTCATGTGTTGAGAACCGTCCATGTCAGGGTCGCGGACATGGTGTCGGACGACCTCCACGCATCACATTTTGGGGAAAGCCGCAGGCAAGCCATCAAACGCAAAGGGGGAATGGAGAGCATCATCGGGCAAGTTAATAGAACATTAGTGCGGTACCATAAATTATTATTTATTTTTTGTCGATACAAAATAGTGCACATAAATGTAGTTTTTCTCAATTTTTCATTGAACTATTTTTATTTTTTTAAAATTCTAATTCGATGTGCTTAGATGCCTTAAATATTAATAATTAGCAATAAATATTCATTAGTTTTTGTCAAAGCGTTCTGCAAACTGCGTGCATTAAAAAAAAAAAAATCTACAGGTTCTTCCGTTAAGCGACCACACCTCTGCACCCAAATTTCAACCTAGTAGTAAGCATGTTGTCAACAAACTGAAAGAAATATTGTCTATATAACTGGAGTACTACAGAATTAAATTGCTTTGGCGAACAACGTTTGTATACAACAGGTCTCAAGTTTTAGTGATTGAAATGAAGTATTGTCTCATTCTATCCATGGCTGTGATTGCCTCGCTGAAAGCAGGTTTGTTTAAAAAAGATAGTATACTAGTAATTACTAGTAATTAAATTCGTGAAACGCAAAGATTGTATTGGGAAAAGAATGAATTTGTAAAAATATTCAAGTCTCAATCGTCTGAATAGTGTTTGTTTTAATAAAGAGATCCATAAATATTTGAGTTATGTATTTCAAAATTATAATCACTAGGCCACGACGAAATCAAAATAAATAGGCCAAGAACAAATCTTAAAAACTAGTTCATGAACAAATCATAATAACTAGATTAAAGGACACACCAAAAGCTAAAATGATTTTCGGCTGAAAGCGAAAGTAGATATTTCGAAAATCGTTCGCGCATATTCTATGCGTAAGTCGAAAACTAATGGGGAAAGTACGCATATTTGTGTTATCTTTTTGTTTAAAATGAGATAATCGGGAATTTACATAGATAAATAGAAAGCTAATCAACACTTTGGCTTTTACCATTTGATTATGAATTAATCTGACGTATCTTGTTAAGAGAAAATTTTGAATTTTGACCCGGGTTAAAAGGGGGGGGGGGTTCCATGCAAGTTAGACACTTGGGCACCCTTTGCTGTTACAATATAATTAGAAAACTAACTCGATACATTTGGTATCGACCAATAGCTTAGCCTATGTATTTTATATTAATGTGGCCTATTACAATGTTCAGACATTAGCCTTAAAATAAAACTCCTTTGTTCCAAGTATAGCGATCTATTTCTGGAATATTAATCTAACTATTAACTCACTTTACTCAGATTTGCTGATGGAAGTCAAACCCCCGGACATAATTGTTGGTCTGACAAGACAACTTTCCATCAACTGTTCTTTCATTCGAACTGATATTACAAACATGGTGAAACTAATTTCTCTGGTCATCACACGGTCAAATGAGACCAACAACTTGCATTTTTCTTACCTGGCTTCTGTGGATGTCTTTGATGGTCTCAATAACGTCACTGGTGATGTCTCGGGACTTATAGACAACAGACATGAATCTTATATAACCCTGACGTGGAAAAGTCCAAGATCCACTTTGACTGGGTGGTACAGCTGCGAGGCTAATGGGGAAAATCTACATGGACAGGTGGTGACGTTATCAAAAACAGCCAAAGTTAAAATAACTAATCCAACGATAGAAGACCTGTTAGATGTTCTCGAGCGACAATCGTTTGCACTTGAACTTCAATCCTCTCAGCTTTTAAAACTGCAACAAGATTTAGGTCAAATTGGCTCATCTGTAATTGAAAAGTGTATATGTTGTGACAGATTGAACACGTCTCTTAAATCTATGTATGACATTTCTAATTTAAACAATGGCAGCCGCTATTATCTCTCTTCGGCGTCAACAGTCCTTTTAATGAAAGAAGCCGAGGCGCAGTGTGAATTACTGGGTGGGTATCTGATTGAGATGGACAGCGAAGTGGAGTATCTGTTCATCAAGAGCTTCTTGGGGAATAATTCTGCTCACAGTGCAGTTTATACTGGAGCGAACGACGAGGCCGTCGAGAATAACTGGGTCAACTTCTACAGCAAGACGCCAGTCAAGTACATCAAATGGGATCAAGGGCAACCGAACGACGGAAGGACTAACAATTGTTTGGGGCTGTGGCGGGATCTTGACTGGAGAGCAGCAGATTTGAGTTGCTATCAAGGTGTGACCCCCGACAGACGTGGCTACCTCTGTGAAGTTCCTGAATCGTAATCGAGCTTGACAGAATATGCAATATTATTGTTTTTAGTTAAAGTATTCCATATGTTATACCTTTTTGATGAATAAATTGATATTGAGAGGGAATATAATGGATTTTTTTTTTTTTTTTTTTTTTGGGGGGGGGGGGGGTCAATTTGTCCATGGTAAAATGATACATAAAAATCTCAAAGTAATTATAGTTATTTAATTTATATAATTACTTGTGCTGAATGAAACGTCAATAAAAATATTTTAAAACAACTAATTATTCGTTTTATTTTGTTTTTAATTTATAAGACTATATTTAATGCACATTTTTTTGTGTTAATGTGTTCGTGATCAAACTTTTTACCTCCATGCTCACTGTTCCCAAATGACGTGACAGTTTTACACACAAATCTAACATTTAAATGCTTCTCCGTTCAAATCCAACTCTGAAAATTAAAAAAAAATATGTCCGACTTCATCTTTATTAGGTAAACTAATTGAAATGCACTCTTGCTTCACTACAGGATGGGAGGTTTATTCACCACAAGGGGGGGGGGGTGGCTTCATCCCTAAGGGAGGGGTGGTTTGATTACTACTGGAGGGGTGGCTTGGTCACTATGGTAGGGATGTTTTGATCACTGGGGGGGGGGGGGGGGGGTGTGGCTTGATCACTACAGTATGGATGTTTTGATCACTACTGGCAAGTTAGCTTAAAAAGATGTCTGTTGAATCATTGATTACGTAAATGCGATTTCTTGTTAAAAATTATGGTTTAATCAAAAATTTTATTTAAATCAGCACGGGCAAAATAATAATTCTTCGGAGTCAAATATAAAACGCCCTTCTACACAATGAGCACTGCCTAAATAATCAGCAGAGATAAACCAGACATTCTGGTAAAGGTCTTTCAGTAAATCATTTTACCACATAACTGTGTTTACGCATGCGTATAGCGGGCTTAGATTTTACACGGTAAAGTCAAGGAACAATGTAAACATAATTATAATGATAGTAACTGTAATTCTATAACCAGGGGTTCCCTAAAGAATGCGTCACAGTACCTTTGGAGATATGGCTCACTCCCAGAGCTGCCACGAAACTGATTCAGAGTTATGGAACCATAACACAACATGGCGTAAACGTCATGTTCGCCGTCACTTCTTGAAATTTTTCTCAATACTTTTTGTTACGACTAATGGCAGTGGACTTACTTTTTCTCTCTTCCGTCCCCTTTTGCCTGTATCAACTCTCTTACCTACTTCTATTCTTTTACATTCCTCCTGATGTCGTCTCGGATTCTACATTACTGCTAAGTGTTTATTGCTATTTTATATTTTTACTTTTTCCACTTTTGTTATTACTCTGAAGAAGGCCTCTTGTCGACACGTTCGTTCTTTTGTTGCGTCATTCTTATTCGTGAGCTACCCTACTTTATTTTCTTCTACCTAACCAAATAGCACTATCTCCCACTCATTACCCCATGAAATATTTCACAATTTTCATTACTTATATTCCGTTTTTAATTCAATGTGAAAGAAAGGGATATCAAGCAGATATTGTAGAAAAAGGTAAATTACATGCTGTCTGTTCTCTGTCACAACTTTTTCTCGGACTCCTGCCCTTCCCATCTAACCGAATTTCTTTGTGTCTATGCAACCCTTTGACAGCTTCGCTTCCCCGCAGACACGCTTTTTCTGTCCATGTCTAAGACACGCACTAAAACATGCGGTGAACGCTTTTTCTCTTTCTGCACCCTCAAACAATGTACCTCTCTTTAAACTCTACTACCCCGACTGATTCCCCCCCCCCCTTCTGATCAATAAAAGATGCTGCTGTGTGCCGTCCATGGCGTGACATGTAAAAGTTCAGGGGTGGGTCGGGTGTATATACATTTGTTTTTGCTTTGTTATACAGCTGTTACTTATTATATAAATGTATTTTATTTTAATTTAACGATTATGTCTCTTTTTTCCTAAAAGTTTTATGTACAGCGCGGCGAACCCAGCCCTAGGCTAGTATACCGCTCTATATAGAACCACTAATAATAATAATAATAAATCCCATTGTAATATAAAAAAAATTGACGCAAGGCTCTGCAAAAGTTTACTTGATATTGATTTGAAATTTAACATTTGTATTTTATTTATTTTTACATAACTTTTTTAATTTCATTATGTTCTGGTTCGCAAAGGCTTTCTTAAAATGAATTACGCTAGGGCGAAGAAAAACGAATAACTTTAAGAACCACTGTCGTTACCTATCTTGAAATCGGTGTCTTGGGAACTTTTGCAAAAGTTAGATGACCAAGGAAAAGGAATCGATCAAAAATCGTGTGGACGGGAACAAAACGTGCGTCGAAAAATCAATTAAAACTTTCATTTTAATGCGATCGTGCCTAGCACAAATACACCCAGCCGGGAGAATTTGGAAAACAAGCTGATCCAGACTTGTGGAACCTTGATTTCACATGAAATAAACGTCATGTTTTCATTCACTTGTTAAGACTTTGCTCCACCCCTCCACGTCACGACAAATTGCAGAGGACTTACCTCTCCTCTTTTATTTCCCTTTTGCCTGTATTTAATCTCTCACATACTTATTTTCTGTCACAATACTGTGCTGCGCTATCGGATACTTCTTTTCCGCAAATTGCTATTTTTTAAAAAATATTAATTCTATTTTTTCGTTTATTTTTTTGCTGGCGAAAGCTTCCTGTCGACACTTTCGTTGTTTTGTTGCGTTCCTTTTTTCAGTTTTACCCCTTACTTTGTTTTACTCATTTCCTTACAGTGTTGTATTAAAACGCTTTGGAGCGTATTTCTATTGTTCACACCCGAGGAAAAAGCATTGAAGGGAACAGCAGAATACCCCCCAATCCAAAATGAACAATTGGTCATATTGGTTTTTATGTTAGTCGGTATTAATGATTGTTAAAAATTACCTTGACATTAGTTCACAATAGCCTTTATGAATTTTTATTCCCACAGACGCCACAGAAATTATTCTCACACAGCATTATTCAGAATTCGCAGATAATTTTTCTATGACTGCAATAAACTTGTACATTTGATCACAAGATGAATTTCCATTTTTTAACTTCACCAGATGTTGATTTTAACTTTGTGATGTTATACTGTGAACTTCGGGGTGGGGGAGGATAGAAGGCGCGATCATTCAGTGTTACATTATGAGATTTTATACTTAAATATTATGAGATTTACACTTAAACATTATGAGATTTTACACTTAAACATGAGATTTTACACTTAAACATTATGAGATTTTACACTTAAACATTATGAGATTTTACGCTTGTGCTGAATTAAACTTTGAGGTTTTGCTGAAAAAGCCGATGCCATACTGCGTCTCTGCAAGATGTTATTACTGTAACGTTGGATCGGTTCAACAAACTGAGGTCGTGAGAACTTTACTGATGTAAATATATATAAAGAAAGCATTGTCTATACCTCAAGGCTGGTCCACAGCGAAAAAAATAGAAATATTGTTTTTGATATAGCTCTTCTGCGTTTTAAGCCCCATTTGCATGCTATCTCCATGCGTCAAAGAATGGGCACAAAATATCTAAGATAATGACCTTTGAAAACAACAACTGTATTTCATTGCATCTATTAACATATGGGCATTTTATATGGATTAGGATTCTTTCCAATCACATAGGCCGTTTAAAATATGAGGTAGCTCTTAAAAAAGCTTGTCAGCGGCGGAGGGCGTTCTGTCCCATAAAAATTCACATTACTTGAGTGTACAATCTGAACATATATGTATGACGATGGCGTTAAGCTCACAAAAAAAGTTTAAAAAATAATACCATTGTCAATAGAAAATAAGACATCAAGGACCAAAGGCACGTTTTGGTATTGTTTACAAGAAGGGCGTTTGTACCTGACTGTGGGGGGAATAATTAACGGGGGTGGGGGGTGGGAGGGGGGTTAAAATGGACAAAACTGCACCGTCCAAATTGAACTTTTCCAATCCACATACGAAGCGCTTCCGGAAATGTTAAGTTTCGCGGACAGGTGGACAAGATTTGAAATTTGGACCGTTGCAGAAATTTATTCATTATATTTTCTTTTTTTTTTAACCTTACTATAAATGTTCATACTGTGCGGACCAGCAGAGCGAGGCTCACGGACCGGTGCCGATCTAAGCCCCACCGTTTGGGGATCCACGCCCCACCTTTTGGGAATCCACGCCCCACCTTTTGGGGATCCACGCCCCACCGTTTGGGAATCCACGCCCCACCTTTTGGGGATCCACGCCCCACCCTTTGGGGATCCATGCCCCCCCACCCACCCGTTTGGGGATCCACGCCCCACCTTTTGGGAATCCACGCCCCACCTTTTGGGGATCCACGCCCCACCGTTTGGGGATCCACGCCTCACCTTTTGGGGATCCAGGCCCCATGTTTTGGGGGTCCACGCCCCACGATTTGGGGATTCACGCCCCACCTTTTGGGGATCCACGCCCCACACTTTGGGGATCCACGGCCCACCCTACTAACCCACAGAATCAAAAGCGAAGGGAATGGAGTGGGCTACTGTGCAAATGAATAGAACAGTAGCGCCCTACCATACATTACTTTACCTTGTTTAAGTGTTTGTACACTGGTGTCTATATAGACTACAGGTAGTTTCTTTTATTCTTCCTTTTCGATCAAGCTATTTTTTTTATTTCTTAAGTGTTTTTTTTTTTAAGTCGACATTATAAATTAACAATAAATACAATACACAATAAGCACAATTTTACTATTTAAGGTCTTCAACAAAGCATTCTGCAAACTGTTAATACCATAAATAACACGCTAGTATTAAATCTATCACACAAATTTCATATTAAAACATACACATTAGAAAATATCCACCTTCACGACATTTTGAGAGCCAAGGTTACGCCCCAGGGCTGCATTA